AGATGCAGTCCAGCTGGCTTTCACTGTCCAAGTCGTCGTCGCTGAGTTGCCAATGCCTCTTCAGATGCAGTAGTCCTAATTCCGGGCAATGTCTAGGGATCCAGTTTATTTGACATCGGATGAACGCCATGACAATTTCAGCTGGCATTTAAGGGCCTTTGCCTGTGTTGACCATAGATAGGAAAGGGCTGGGGTTCGATTCGCGTTATTCGAACGCATCCGCTGCCACCAGTGTAGAATACCCGAGCCCTAATAGGTAAAAGACGGGTACAACAGAACAGGCTTTATTGGCCAATCACGAGCCAGAGCCACGCGTCAGGCGCCTTCCATCCGAGTCCACCGCGCTGTCCACGCCGCTCATTATATACTGCATCTCACTCGTGTCCTTCTCTGGTTGGCTGCCTTCCTTTCCCGCATGCCATTGGATCGCAGAGAGACACGGGATTGGCTGAGGCCAGGTGGTCCAACATGTCTGGGCCCTAATCCGACGCCACACCACACCACACTACACCTGCTGTGCCGGTGTTTGGTTTCGCGTGTCTCGAGATGGTTCTTGCTATTGACCTGTTTCGGACGGATAAGGGCGGTGATCCGGATTTAATCAGACAGAGTCAGAAAAATCGGTATAAAAATGCTAGGGCTGTCAACGAAGTGATTGACCTAGACAATCAGTGGCGCAAAGGTAATGGAGAGTGTCTGAATGTGTAGTGATGATTTAGCTCGCTCTGAACACGACAAATTAAACCGTTCAAAGAACCTATGCAGTAAGGCCATTGCGAAGAAAATGAAGGTAAAGAAGTAGACAGGTTTGAATTTTTGTAGGCAGGACAGTCCTCTGGTGATACCAAGACTGAACCTCTCGATGACCTTCTGAAAGGTCTGTCTGATCTAAAACCAGAACAGTTGGAGGTATGCAATTGTTTGCTACCGGACATGCATTTATAGGATCTGAGTGTTTGTCAGATTAAGACACTCACTACCTACATTGATGAATTAATCAGAGACCAGGAGGTTCTTTCCGACGCGTTGGAGAAGTCAAGGAATGATATTTTGTTCGAAATCGGTAACATTTTACATCACGAGGTGCCAATCTCGAACGACGAGGTATGTACTTTCGACGTTGCATCATGTCTGCTAAATGTCAGGTCAACAACAAGCTCATCCGCACCTTCGGTGATTGTTCTGTTGAGAAGCGTTATTCACACGTTGACTTGGTGACGATGGTAGATGGATTCGATGGAGAACGGGGAACAAGTATCTCGGGTAACCGTGGTTACTTCTTGAAGGCGAGTCGTTTTCTTCCTCTTGTTGCCTCTCGGGACTAGTTAGAGATTGACGATTTTGTTTGTGTTGATAGGGTCCGCTGGTGTTTTTGGAGCAGGCTCTCATTAACCTATCCCTGAGGATGCTTTATGAGCGTAATTACACGGCTTTGTACACGCCCTTTTTCATGCGCAAGGAGGTGATGAAAGAAGTGGCACAGCTTTCTCAGTTCCACGAGGAGTTGTACAAGGTGACGTGTAAATCCGATTCTACTGGCGATCCGGCCAAGGATTCTCTCGATGAGGAGAAGTACTTAATTGCTACCTCAGAACAGCCGATCGCTGCCTACCATCGTGGCGAGTGGATGTCGCCGTCGGCGTTGCCCATCCGCTACGCCGGCTTCTCTTCCTGCTTCAGACAGGAGGTTGGAAGCCACGGTCGCGACACACGAGGTATCTTCCGCGTGCATCAATTTGAGAAGGTGTGCCGATTTCGTTGTTGTTGTTTGAGATGTGGATATGGGGAATTGTAGAACCACTGAGCTAGGTATTGGACCGAGTTTGCCAGTTAACTTGTGGGTTTTGTGGTCTGATTTGAAGATGTCAGAGAAGTAGTTAAGAGTCGGCATTTTTTGCTAGTAAACATTGTTGTTGATATTTGACCGTGTTGTTTGCCTTTTAGGTCGAGCAATTTTGCATGACATCGCCTCACGATAACGCGTCTTGGGAGATGTTCCACGAGATGATTGCAACCGCAGAGAGTCTGTACACGGTGAGTTGGGGCTGTTTAGTCGACGGGACTATTCGATGCGTGCTAGTTAGCAGCGCGGGTTAGGGCTTTAAGCGTGCAAAAATGCGAATCAGTTGAAAAGACTGTTCTATGGCGAACCGATTTGAGTTGCAAGCAATTATTGTGTAG